TGGAAAGAGGAGGAGAGGGCGGGATGAGGGGGCCTGGCAGAGGCCTGACCCCTTTCCTGCCCCGCCCCTCCAGAGGGCCAAGGGCTAGGAGAGAGAGAGAGGGAGGCAGGGATCAGAGGAGGGGCTGGGATCACTAGGTGACATTAAGATTTAGATTAGAAGCAGGCCCGCAAAAACATCCTTCTTTGAGCCTGTTTGACTACCTGTACTTCTCTATTCCAGGGGCAGAGTTAGCTGGGTATGGGGGTTGGGGAGTGGGTGGAATCTCTGAAGAGGGAGAGAAGCAACGTGCAATGATAGATACTGCGTCTCCTGCCCAAGCCTTCTCTCTCTCTCTCTCTCTCTCTCTCTCTCTCTCTCTCTCTCTCTCTCTCTCTCTCTCTCTCTCTCTCTCTCCTTGCACTAGTACTGTTGGATTCCAGTGGCCCAAATCCTTCAAGGTCCAGCCAGCTCAGATCCAGTTTCCTCCAGGAAACCTTCCTGCCATCCTCTCCGTACCCCAGCCATAGTAGCCTCTCACTGGAATGCTGTGATGAGCTCTTGGAGTTTAGGGTTGGAGTTTTATTGAGTATTATAAGCACTTCAGTTGGGTTGAGTATTTTAGAAGCTAAGACTGTCTGTCTAAGAGTCCACCTCAGGAAACTGAGGCCGAGGAGGGAAGTGACTTTGCCAAGGTTATATAAGTAGTAGTTCTGGAATTCTAACCCAGACCTTCTTTCCAATCCAGTTCACATTCCATTATGCCAGTCTTAATTTATGTTCCATTTATTTGTATATATTGTCTGTAGGGATGGGGTGAACAGGAAGTGTGGGGAGGAGGGTGGATCTGCTCCTGTGATTTCATTGAGGTAGAGAACTCTCTGTGAAGAAATTTCCTATACCAATGCAGAACAATAACTGCTCTGCAATTTATAGACCGAGAGCTGTACCTGGGCTATCAAGAGATTAAGTGACTTGACCCGGATCATGTGGCCAGTGGCAGGAGTAGAAGGATTTGATTTACTGACTCCAAAGCAGGTCTTCTATCCACTATGCCAGGCTATTTCTGTCTTCTGTTTATATGTTTCTATCTTCTAAACTAAAAATCAAGATGCATAGTCTAACAAAGGACATTCCTTTTGCAAAGTCTCCTTAAAAACATCCTTTCTTGAAATGGAAACTCCACAAAGCTTCTCCCTTGCCCCTCCCCCAGATAAGTTCTTTAGGGGTAGGGACCCGGTTTTGTTTTATTTTTGTCTCCCCACCCCCACCCCTAAACTAGCACAGTGCTTCCCATATAGTAAGTACTTAATGATTTTTGAATAGCCGCCCCAGCCAAGACTTTTGGAAAATGACTGGGGAGGAATCTAGTACCATCAGGTCTTTTTTTTCCCTCTGGCTTCCGTCTGGCTTCCTGCTCCAGTTTCCTGGTCCTTTCCGGGGTCCAGGGGGATTGCAAGCAGATAACTGTCTCCTAGAGACTGCACACTTAATAGTCCTGTCTTCTGCCCCACCTCCTCAAACCCTCCTCCTCAATTTGCTGCTATTGAGGCTTAGGGATCCAGAAGCTGGGACTGGGCCTTAGTCATCTTAGGGGGAAAACATTGGTGGGGGTTGAGGTGAGTCACAAAGGCCAGGCCCAAGGGCCAGGGCCCAACCTTGCTAAGGAAAAGGAAAGATCCCAAGGGCTATTTCTGATACATTGTAAAGAAAAATTTCAAAAAATAGCCAACCTCTTTAAAAATCAAAGAAAAACAAATGAAAGCAAATTGTGAAGCACCACCTCGTACCCATCAAATTGCTGAGAATAAATAAAAATTATAATAAGATGTGGTGGCCAAATAGGTGTAACTAACATATGTGTGTTGTTGGCAGCGTTGCAAACTGGTTAGATCATTCTAGAGAGACATTTGGCAATGTGTAACAAGAGTCATAAAGTGACTATACCCTTTGAACCTGTAGGAATACATTCCAAGGGAGTAAAAATAATTTTTAAAGACCTCCCTGTATAAATATTTATTTGTATTTGGAAAAAACTGGAAACAACTAAATGCCTAGTAGTTCATAGAATCTTGAGCTACATAGGACTTTCAAGAAGGTGAAAAGTTAAAAGATTTCAGTATCTCAATGTAATGGCTTAAGAATGACAAATATTTGGACTATATAGAAAAGTGAAAAGACCTATCAGAAATCATACAAAGCAGAAAAAAGGCAGAAGTAAAGCTTGCACATAGAAGGCAACTCTAGAAAAAAGCATCAGCATGCATACCTGAATCAGGGATCTGAAGGGGATTTAAAGATGATTGCTTATAAATGTTACTTGCAAAGCCCTTCATAAATTGTTTCTAATCTACCTTTTCAGACCTGTTTCACAGCACTCCTCTTCACACACTTTACATTCCAACCAAACTAGCTTATTTACTATTTATCCCGTACATGACACTCTATCTCCAGTCTCTCTGCCCCTTTGCCCAGGCTGTGCCCCATATATGAAAAGTCCTTCCTCTTCTCTTCATCTTAGAATCCCTATCAACCTTCAACACTCAGTTGTGGTGCCACTTTCTTGATCCCTCCCCAGTGGCTAATATCCTCCCCCTTTCCTACTCCTCACTCCAGTATCTCTGTTTGGGTACATAGTTCAGCTAGGGTTCTTTGGACCTGCTCCTCTCTGCAGCTCATCTAATTGCCATTGCCAACTTTCCCTGGAATCCATAGTTGGCTCTTCTGTGCTGTTCAGAGTCATTCTCCTTGAGGCGTCTTCCTTGACCATCTATATCTTCCTGTCTGTCTGCCTTTCTGTCTCGTATTGGTCAAGTAGCTCCTCTGTAAGATACTCTGCTAGATAAAAGGGGAGAGAGAAGAGTCTCCTCCCTGTCACTGCTACCATCTGACAGAAGGGCAAGGACTTTACTCCATAAAACTACTTCCTGCCTCAAAGTATTTCTCAGAGCTGGCAAGCTTGCTTTTTAAGGACCATCCAGGCATGACCAATCTTTGGGCAGCCAATGGAAAGCTGCTATCTTTGCACTTCATTTAATACATTAACACTTCCTTTCTTGCCTTGCTTTCTGTGATTATGTCAACTGGGCTGGGATAGAAGAAAATCGTTTGGTCTGTGACCAACTCTCCACCCCCATGACAGCAGAATGAAGCTAGATTATGGAGGACTTTAGATTCCAATCAGAGGAGCTTGTGTTTTATACCAGAGTCAACAGGGAACCACTGGAGAATGTTAAGTAGCATATTCTGGATATAGACTGATCAGGGCAGAGTATGATTGGATGATTTTTTCCCATGATTTGTGTGCACTCTATTAATGTAGCCTAAGTTTGAATTTCGGCAACTAGGTGGTGCAGTGGATAGAGCTCCAGGCCTGGAGTCAGGAAGACTCATCATTGTGAGTTCAAATTTGGCCTCAGAACTTACTAGCTGTGTGATCCAGGGTAAATCACTTAACCCTTTTGCCTCAGTTTCCTCACTTGTAAAAAGAGCTGGAGAAGGAAAGAGCAAACCATTCCATTATCCATGTATAATATAATATACATTATCCACATACATACTTATATACATATATACACACATATACATACACACATACATACAATATACATATATACATTCAGTTCTCCCTGATTCCATGTTCAGCATCTCTCCACTATAACATGGTGCATCTCACTGCCATTAGGAATGTGTTTGGACTGTCCCATAGAATTTTAAATATTATTAATGAATATGAATGTTCAAGTTGCAGTATGTCATCATGGAAAGAAGGCATACCTGGGAGTCAGGAGACCTGGGTTCTAGCTCTTATCTTAGCTTTCTCCTATTTATGAACAGAGACGTAATTTCTCCAACTGTCAAATAAGAAAATTTGAGTAATCTTAAAAAAATGATAATAATAGCTGACCTTGATATAGAGCTTTAAGATTACAAAGCACTTTGCATGTTACTCTGATTTGATCCACATGACACATCTTCTATGTGGAGTACTCTAGGTAAAACTGTCTCCATTTTACAGACGAGGAAACTGTATCTAAGAGAAGTGAAGGGACCTGTGTTCTCACAGTTTGTAAGTGTCAGAGGCTAGAGTCAGAAGTGGGAAAATTCTAGAATGAATCAGAAAGAGATGGTCAGTGAACATCTAGTAAAGGAAGCAGTGATTACACAGAACCAGCATGGCTTCGTCAAGGACAAATTCTGCTAGCCATCTTTTTTTTTTTGACAGTTACCAAGTTGACAGATGAGAAGAATCTTTTGATAAGGTTTACCTAGGTTTTAAAAGCTTCTGCTAAATATAGATTTAGAGGAGGGAGGCACTGAAGAGGTCATTTAGGCCTACTCTCTCATTTTACAGATAGGGAAATTGAGGTAGGAGTGACTTGTCCAGAGTCACATAGCTAGATAACATTTGAGGAGGCATTTAAATTTTCACTATTTGTAATCACTAGTCACTTATCAATTAGTAATCACTTAATCAATTAGTAATCATTTAGTAAACATTATTCTTGTATACTAGATGGAGAGATATGGACTAAAAAATAATATAAGTATTTGAATTTAGAACTGGTTGAATGATTAGTTGAGGAGTAGTCATTAATGGTTCAATGTCCATTTGGCCGGAGGTCTCAGGTGGAATGACCCAAAAGTCTATGCTTAGCCCTATGTTTTAGCTTTTCTTTTTAACTTTTTTTTTAAATCAATGTCTGGGCATGGTGGTGCATCCCTTTAGTTCTTGCTGCTGGGGAGACAGGCTGGTGGACCTCTTGAGTTCAGAAGTTCTAAGCTATAGTAGGGCTAAAGGTAATCAGGCGCCTGCAGTGTGGTCACCAATATAGTGAACCTCCAGGAGCAGGGGGGCTACCAGGCTGCCTAAGGAGGGAGAGAAACGGCCCAGGTTAGAAAAATGGAGCCGGTTAAAGCTTCTGTGTTGACCAGCATTTGCATGGAGCCTAAGAATGGCTGCTGCATTTCTAGCGTGAGTAAGATTGGGAGACCCAATCTCAAAAAAAAGAAAGTTTTTA